GACCTGGTCCCCTCCTCCGCCCGGGGGCGCTGATTCCACCGCAGACCCCACAGGATCCAGGGCGAGGCCGAGTGGGGCGGAGGGAGCGGCTTGGAAGCTGTAAGTTCGGTGCCACTAACGACTCTGTGCCTTTCACGTTGGTCTTCCTGTGTCCAGGTTCTCAGCAGCCTGGCAGCGAGGAGGACCCCCTCCTGCCAGCACCTGCTGCAGGTGCCCCTGTGCACCCAGGGTCCTCAGACCCCAGGCCTGGGCACACGGCACAGGGGCGAGGACAGGCCTGCAGACAGCGTGGAGGGAGCTTGGGCCGATCGGCCGAGGGGCCCGGGGCCCATCCTCTCTCCAGGCCTCAGTCTGTCCGCGGTGAAACAGAGGGTCAGCCTCTGCTCCAGGCTTGGGGGGCCGCCCATGGGGGCATCGCCAGGGCTTCTGGGTGCTTCTCCAGGAGGAAAATGCCCAGGGACCAAGCCCATTGGGGCTGCCTGGCTCCACCTGGCAGACGGGTCATGCCAGCCAGCCCCCTCTGGTGCCAACGCCTTCTTCAAGCCAGCCCTGCCCACGTACCCCTATCTAGGGCCTGCGAGGCTGCCGTCTCCGGCTGTGGGAAGTGTGTGTGTGTGTGTGTGTGGACACGCCCTCTGCTTCCTGCCAGTGCTTCTGTGTCGCGGCTCAGATCAGAGGAGCCTCGCTTTGTCACCTGCCTTTTTCTTCCCAGGAATCGGAGTCAGGCCGCTCAGCAAAGGGGATGGGAGGAGACAGCTGTCCTCCTGGGGAAGGTTCTGTTAGGGGGACGGGCACTGTCACCCGGGGCCAGACCCCACACCCCCCTTCGCACACACCTCCCTGCTTTCTCCCCCCCCCCTCCCCCGACGGTGGATTCATATTTTCCAAAAGGCCCAGTGACCTCGCCCACTGGTTATCGCTCCTGTGGTTGGGGCTGGGCTCAATTCTTTTTCCAACTTCCTTTTGCTCTTTCCAGCTGAGTGAACTTTCCACGCTCAAGGCCACATTGCACCCCAGTCACCCTCCCGCTGAGCAGTGCCAGCGTGGGTGTGTGCCTTGGCGACGTGTTGAGTGCTGAGGGCCTGACCTGCCAAGCCCTCTGTTCTGAGAGGGAGGGCCAGGCTGGTGGGGACCCAGGGGCCCATTCTGAAAGGAGGAGGACTCCTGGTTGACCCTGAGTTCACACACTGAATGGCCATGGTCCTCGCTTCTCCTCCTCATAGAGCACAGCTCCCAGCCGCCCCGTCTGCCAGGAGCACTCCTACTCACCTGCCAGCACCTGCGGGCAGGGCCCGCCTGGAAGCGCTCCCCCCGCCTCCCCCCCGCCCACCAGGTCTCCCGTTTGGAGAAGGCGCCCATCCTTCCTGCTCCGGTTGAATGCTGTCCCCTCCAAACCCAGACAGCGAAGACCTAACCCCCGGCCTCAGAATGCGGCTGTCCTTGGAGACGGGCTTACAGAGGTGATGAGGGTAAAGTGAGGTCAGGTGAACGGGCCCTGACCCAGCAGGACTGGTGTCCTCACAAGAAGCGGGGATTGCGCCCTAGGCAGTTTGGCTCAGTGGATAGAGCGTCCACAGCCTGCGGGCTGAAGGGTCCCGGGTTCAATTCCAGTCAAGGGCACAGGCCTGGGTTGTGGGCTCCCTCCCCAGTAGGGGGCGTGCAGGAGGCAGCCGATCGATGATTCTCTCTCATCACTGATGTTTCTATCTCTCTCCCTCTCCCTTCCTCTCTGAAAGTAATAAAAACATATTTAAAAAAAGAGGAGATTGGGAGACAGGGTGTCAGGACACGTCACCCCGCCGACACCCTGATCCCGGGCCTTTGGGCTCCGGAAATGGGAGAGGACAAACGCCTGGTGTTTAACCCCCGCCCCCCCCACCCCCGTTGGAGGTGCTTTGCGGTGCAGCCCACACACGATGGCCCCCGTGGAGGAGAACTCATCGGCACCCCGGGCTGCCCGCCTCTCCAGGGCCAGGCGCGCTTGTTAGAGTGAGCTAAGCTCTTCTGAGTCCGAGCACACAGCCTTCCTAAGCTCCAAGGTTCACCGAAGAAATGCAGGTGACCTGGGCGCGTAGACCCTTCAACCCTCTCAAGGCTCCAGGGGCCCCTGGTGACCGGAGGGTCCGCTTACCCGGTGCCTGCAGCCCCCCACAGCGTCCCCTGGGCGCCTCCGCCCGGCCCAGCGTCGCCCTGGGGCGCCGGTGTCCTCGGCTGGTGCGTGTGGGGTGCCCGGCCACCTGGCAGCCAGAGATGTTCCCCCGTCCGTTTATGTTCGTTATGCTTGTTCTTACCGAGACGGTGTGTGATGAAATACCCGTGAAACGATGAAGGGCGAATTCCAAGAGTGTTCCTGTGAGCGCTGAACCGAACGCCTTGAAGGAGACTCAGGAAAGGCGGGCCGCGTTCAAAATACCACTGCTGCCCGGCCGCGTGGCTCAGCGGTGGAGCGTCGACCCATAGACCAGGAGGTCAGGGTCCGATTCCCGGTCAGGGCACACGCCCGGGTGACAGGATTGATCCCAGTGGGGGGCGTGCAGGAGGCAGCTGATCCATGATTCTCTCTCTTCATGGTGCTTCTATCTCTCTCTCCCTCTCCCTTCCTCTCTGAAATCAATAAAAATACATTAAAAAATATAAAAAAACATTGCTGTTGAGTGAGGCTGTGGCGACAGCCAGTCTCGTGGTGGCCGAGTGACTGCGGCCCTGCACTGCCCCTGTGTGTGGTCCTCTCCCGCACAGAATCCGGCAGGACTGTCTGTGGGGCCGAGAGGCGTGGGAAGTGGTCCCACTTGGCTCCCGAGGTGAAGCGGGAAAGGCAGGCAGCTTTGCCTGGTTCTAGGGGGGCGGGGAGGGGAGCTGCCCTGGAGGAGGCTGGCACCGTGAGGACCCTCGAGCCTCTTTGGAGAGGCCCCGGTGGCAGGAGCCGAGTCCTCCCCCGACGGTGGCACCAGCCTGGTGAGCGAGCAGATGCGGCAGCAGGTCCCGCAGCCCCGCAGTCCTGGGGCCCAGGCCACCTCGTCCCCTCTCTGACCCGCCTTCCCTGCGATGGGAGAAGGCGTTTGTGCATCCAGCCAGCACGGAGCGCTGCGGGCGCCCAGCGGGGGTCAGGGGCCGCACCCCTGGCGCGTCTGCTGGGCTGGAGCTACCCTAGGACAGATGAGCCCCCACCCAGGGATGAGGGTGGGATGCGGGCAGGTCACTGCAAAGCTGGGCCTTGGTGCCTGAGGGAGGGACACAGGGAGAGGAGGCTCGGGGCGGAGGATCTGGGGGGCTGGTGCTGGCTGCCAGAGCTGTGCTTAGGGGAGCGACCTTTGAACTTGGACGTGAGTGCTAACGGGCAAAAGGTGCTCCTTAGTGGAGGAATCTGGGAAGGGCCTGCCAGCAGGGGGAGGCGAGGGAGAGGGGAGGCCGGCTTTGGGGTTGGGGCCTGAGTTCTCAGCAGACTCCCCTGTGATGGGGTGCTGGGCGAGCCCTTGGCAGAGGCTGTGGGACTGGGGTACACACTGCAGTCGGACCCACTGGCCCACCTCTGCACCCTCCAGACACAGCGCCGGCCGCGTGTGGCTGTTACGCACCGGCACGGCGGCGAGTCCGAGCTGAGAAGGGCTGGAAGCGCAGGGCGCACACTGCGTTTCAAAGGCTTAGGGAAAAGCGATTGCGGGGTATCTCAGTCCTGGTGCTGAGGTTAATGACAGGGGGGAGGTTTAACGTTTCCTGCATCCTGGGTTACGTAGACCGTCTCGTCCACACGGGTTTCACCTGTGTCCTTCTCTTAAACACGAGTCTCCGCACGGGGTTGGCGTTTTCTCTGCTGGAGTCTGGGCGGTGCGGCTACTGGTGGAGAGACGCACAGGGCTGCGGGGTGACTTCGGCCACGAGTCGGGGCCTGTGTCGGGCAGACCCTCCCCTGCTGCCCCGCTCAGGGCACGGGCGGGTTTCTCAGGCGCCTGCTCAGGGCACGGGCGGGTTTCTCAGGCGCCTGCTCAGGGCACGGGCGGGTTTCTCAGGCGCCTGCTCAGGGCACGGGCGGGTTTCTCAGGTGCCCGGGGCTCTGTTTCCCGGGAGAGGAGCCGGCAGGAGTGGAGCTGGAAGGGCAAGCGGCCTTTTCCGGTTGGAACTGGTTTGAAACGGGTCCATGTGGCGGCTTGGGTTTGGCTTTGGGTTTGTGATGTGAAGGGTGTCCCAAAATTCACGCAAGAAGTAATTTTGATAGAAAACACAGGTTTATAATTAAAAACTGTAAATTTTTTATTGATTCATAAAGTATACAGTATCGGGTTATGTATGGAATAGCACATCAGGTAAATGGCCTCCACGGCTTTGCTGGCACAGACGCAAAGCCGTGGTCTTCATTGGTCTTCATTGTCCCTGCTCCTGGGCCATCGTTGGTACTTGGTGATGCTTATCAAATTGAAGGGATTGAAATCAAAGGGCAACAGGTATTAGAATCTGATTCAATAAACCAAGTAAAATTAGGCTTTTATTTGTTGTTGTTGTTGTTAATGCTCACGCAAAATTCAAATCTTGCATGAATTTTGGGACACCCTTTAGCATGAGTGACGTGCAGCCAGCGTCTGGGCTGCTCCCCTCCCGGTTCAGTGCCACGGAAAGGCGTCGGCCTGGTGTGCAGAGCCCCGGGCTGGGGGGCTCCCGCAGCGGGGCTGGCAGGCTACTGGCGAAGTGCCCCTTCTTGCACTGGGCAACCACGTTATGCATAGATCATGCAGGGCACGGACACAGGCCCTCGTCCATCCAGCTGTGCAACCAGCACCGCACATCTGTCCTGGGGCCTCGTCCAGCCCGGCCCGGCCCAGCCACCTCGTGCACAGCCTCCTTCCCGCAGCCCCGGGCGTGCACTTCAGTGGCACACAAGCCACTCCCGTTCCTGGCACCTCTGAGCCCCTCCACCCCCTCTGAGCGCCGAGCGTTCCTGAGGACACAGAGCGCTTAGGTGAGCGGAATTGTACCCCCCACAGATTCCTTCACTGAAGAATGATCCCACGTCTCCTGACAGAGTCACTGGGCTGGTTTCCTTTAAACGTCTGTCCTAACCAGTCCCTGAAGAGGAAGGTGATGTGCTTATCACTGAGGGAGCATCTCTCAAGCCACAGTGACCGCCTCCTTGAGTCCAAGGGAGACCTTAACATCCAGATTTTTTTTTTAAATATATTTTATTGATTTTTTACAGAGAGGAAGGGAGAGAGATAGAGAGTTAGAAACATCGATGAGAGAGAAACATCGATCAGCTGCCTCCTGCACACCTCCTACTGGGGATGTGCCCACAACCCAGGTACATGCCCTTGACCATCACTGAGGGAGCATCTCTCAAGCCACAGTGACCGCCTCCTTGAGTCCAAGGGAGACCTTAACATCCAGATTTTACACGTGAGGACCTCAGAAGCCTGCATGGGGCTTGGCTGGGGCTGCTGCAGAGAATGGGCTAGGCTGGAATGTGCGCATGCCCGGAGTCACCCATTTAAGCCTCTCAGCCATCCCAGGCGGTGGTTCAAGAGGCCCAGACGCATATAAGGGCCGCCCCAGGGTCCTGATGCGACTGTTTGCAGGCGCTGGGCCCTGCCTCCCGGCGACCTGACCTGGAACCCTGCTCACCTTCCTCTGGTGGCCAGAGACGAGTCCAGACCCCGAGCCCTCACAGCAAGCCAGGCGCCCTGTCACCCCTGCCACACTCTCACCCTGCTCCCCAGAGGCCCGGTCAGGGAGCAGGGACAGGAGGGCAGGGTCTCAAGGAACAAGAGAGGGTCCTCAAAGGGCTGGTCCTGAGCTCAGGGTCAGGGACCCCAGCCTTGAGGTTGGAGAGGGGCAGCGGGGCAGGTGGGGGCAGCGGGAGATGAGGATGCACAGGGGCGTCTTAGCTCCACTGCCACCACAGGGCGCCTCAGACATGGATTCCTCACAGCCCCGGAGGCTGGAAGCCCACGGTCTAGATGCCACTGCTTCGGAATCTGTGAGGACTCTGCCCGGCTGGCAGGGCGCTGCCTTCCTTCGTCCTCACGTGGCCTCTGTGGAGAGAGAGAGATATCGCATTCTCTCTTCCTTTCCTGTAAGGCCACCAATCCTATGGGACTAGGGCCCCACCCTTGTGAAGTCATTTACTATTGATCTCCTCCTAAAAGTCCCAATAGGACCTCTGGGGGTGAGGGCTTCAAGGAATGAATCTGTGGGGGGTACAATGCTGCCCACAGCAGTGGCTCTAGGAGAAGGGACACTAGTTTTTCTTGATGCCCTGGAGCTCCCCAGGATGGAGGAGGAAGGGGACCCATCAGAGTGTGCCTCTGAGTGACACTTCCTGGGTGACACGTGGGCCACGAACACGGGCGGTCCTCAGGTATAAGCAAGATGGCCTCGTGACCCGATGTCCCCACCTCTGACTCCAGGCGGGATCCAGTGATTCCTTCCAGCATGTTCTGTGGCTGGTCCTCTGCTTTGAGCCTCTGGGGTCAGGGGAAGGGCGGGCAGCCAGAGGTGCCGCCTCTGCCCTCAGGAAAATCGCCTCCTCTATTCCCAGAAGCCAGCCTTGTCCCCGCTGTAACAACAAATGAAACAGTGACAGAAGCAAAAGCGGACCTGGAAGCAAGCTGGCCCCCACTTCCTCAAACGGCTGGGAGCTAGACGATGCCGATTGGAAAGCCCTCCCTAGTAGGGTACACACTCAAGTTCTTCAGAGTGCCACACATAATTTTTTAAAATACTGCTTTTTCCCAAGCCCGCGTGGGCCCAGCCCAGCGACACCGAGTCTGGCTGTTAGACCTGTTGTCACTGATCCTGAAATGTGACCTGCATATCTCACTTCTCCAAGCATAGGTGTCCTCATCTGTAACGTGTGGGGATACGTTCAAGCACAGAGGAAGTGGCAGAGGTCAAAGGGCCTCAAAAAAAGGAAGGCAGATATGATTGTGATTAAGAACAATCAGTTGTTCCCACCTTTCGGTTCCTGCAGCCATCGTGTGGAAGACGGATTGTTTGTGTGGTATGGCGCTCATGATGTGTCCAACTGTTCCCCCGACAAGAAGGTGAAGGCCTAACCTCTGGTGCCGATGGAGGTGATCTTATTTGGAAATAGGTGCTTACGGATGATCGCGTTAGGGAGAGAGCGTTGAGGGAGGGGTGGGCTCGAATCCATGCAACTGGTGTCCTTATAAGAAGGGGGCATCTGAACTCAGAGACAGACACCCCAGAGGGAAGGCGATGTGAAATGCGGGCTGGAGACAGCCGTGTACAAGCCTAGCAGCACCTGCGGTGACAGAAGCCGGGGAAGGCCCGGCCCAGACTCTTCCTTACGGCCCTCGGAAGGAGCCAGCCCTGCCGACACCGTGGTCGTGGACTTGCGGCCTCCAGGACTCTAAGACAATAAATGCCTGTCCTTGAAGCCACTCAGCTGGCGGTGCTTTGTGACATACGACAGCCCCCGGAAACGAATCCGATACCTGACCCCGACTTTGCTTTCTTATTGGCTCTAGTTTGTTAAATGCCCAAGTACTTACTGAGTGACTGCTATCCGCCCTCCCTCCACGAAGCTTCGTCAGGTTTGCGGTCCTGGTCCTGCAGGTGCCGTAGACACAAAAGGAAGAGAGCAGGTTGCATCTCACAAGCTGAGATACGGCAGACACATGCCTTCTTCAGACACTCAGAGAAGGGAGAAGCACATGTGAGCTGGGAGGCCAGAGGGCTAGTTGAGAGCTCAACTGAGCCTCGAGGGCTGGGGAGAGCGGGGGAGCCAGGCCAGGGGAGGGAACAGCCCCGCAGGCCAGGTGCGGAGGTCCGAGGTCTGTGGGAGACGCGGGGTCCAGGAACAGGCTCAGTCTGCGTCTGCGCTCTCTCCCTGAGCTTTCTCACCGCCCGCCCTGCCTCTGCCTGCATCTGCCATGCCTCCCCTCCTCCTTGCTTTTAAGGCCCAGCAAGACGGCCACCTGCTCTGTGAGGCTTTCCTGACCCTCTTCCAGGAGCTGCGTTTGCAGGTGGTCAGGGTTTGCAGGTGACCATCATCATCAAGCTTTGTGGGGGCATCCGTTGCCCTGCGACTGAGCGTGGAAGAAGGGGCCCGTTTCTGTGGGGGAGACACCGTGATGTGATGAGCTCACCAAAGCGGCTGCTTTCGTCTGGCAGCTCCCAGACCCCTTGCATCCAGGGGCCCCGTGACTAACTCTGGTCAGTGGATGTGGGCAGAAGTGATGTGTGCCCCCTCCAGGCCTGGCTCCTGCTGACCCCTGGGCCTGGGCTGAGCTCTCCTCCTCAGTGGAGGTTCGGGGGCCCCAGTGGAGGTTCGGGGGCCCTGGAGGAGGGTAGTGGGTCTCTAGCTGGAAGATGCGAGGTTCCGGAGCACCTGGGGGGCCCCTTTCCCCACACCCGCCAACCTGCACTGCAGTGGGGTCAGACAGGTGACCACATCAGAACCTAAACCATCCCCCCTCCCCCGCCCAGCCGCTAACCCAGGATCTGCCCGCCGCCTGGCTGCTGGGCGTGGTCTGGGCATCTGACACAGGGAACCCCACCCTCTGCCTGGATACCCACAGGACCGCCCACTCCATGACTTTG